TGTGTGTGTGTGTGTGTGTGTGTGTGCACGTGTGCATGCAGGCGGGGGCTGCCAGCTCCGGGAAGAGCTGAGTGTGTGTGGGCACGGGAGGCGGGCTGAGGCTGAAGCTGAGGACTGGCTCCTTCTGGAAGTTTCTCCCACCTGCCCTCTTGGCATCCGAGCCTGTGGTGAGCTCGGCCTGGTGGCGGGAGGAGGGGACAGGTGGCAGGACAGCAGCCGTGCCGGGCAAGGCTGGACTAGGTGGACGGCCGTGGCGTCCCCGTGCTGCCACGCGTCCACGTGGCTGGGGGCCCCGCCCTCATCTGCACCAGGCACGGAGGTGCAGGGGGCCGGCCCCGCCTCGAGCCACGACGTCCCCCGCAGACATCATGGTGCTCATCGCCTCCATCGCCGTGCTGGCCGCTGGCTCCCAGGGCAACGTGTTCGCCACGTCGGCTCTCCGGAGCCTGCGCTTCCTACAGATCCTCAGGATGATCCGTATGGACCGGCGCGGCGGCACCTGGAAGCTGCTGGGCTCCGTGGTCTACGCCCACAGCAAGGTGAGCGCTGGCGCGGGGTCACAGCCCTGCTGGACCGAGCCCAGGGGGCGGGTCAGCTGGGAACCAGCCCATCCCCTCTTCTGGGGGCGTCTTTCCATGACCCGGTCCGTCTGGTCGTCTCTCTCCAGAGCGGCTGTTCTGCGGCTCGCTCTGTGCTTGGTGGGTGAGCCTGGGTCTGTGCCGCCCGGGCTCACAGCGGCTGCCCTGAGGTGCCCCCTGCCCCACGTCCTGGCAGGAGCCCAGCCCTGTGTCCCAGGCAGCCCCCACGAGGCCCACACTGCACCCCGCCAGCCCAAGTGGCCTCCTTTCCTGTCCTTGTCTGAGTCCTGAGGCTGGACGGGGCGGGGGTCTGTCCCCAAGGAGGGCAGCCAGTGGGCATTCGGGCTGCCTGCTCCAGGCGTGGGGAGGTGCGACAGGTTCTCAGCAGTCCCAGATCTGCAGCGGGAATGCCTCAGGATTGTGGGGGTGCTCCCCATACCTGGTGGACGGGGTGAGCTGGGCTGTACTGAGCGGCCGTCCTCTGGGTTTGGGTGAGCAGGTGCAGGGGCCACGTGGCAGAGGGACCACACAGCCAGGACCACACACACCATCCCTCCCGCCCCCGCAGCAGCCCTGTGCTAAGGGCCATGCGGCCAAGCAGGTGCCGGCCTGGGCTGCCGAGGGCTCTGTGGGGACAGAGAGCTGGACTGGGCGTGGTGCCTGCTGGGGCCAGGGAGCCAGGACATGACCCTCTCTTTCAGGAGCTGGTGACTGCCTGGTACATCGGCTTCCTCTGCCTCATCCTGGCCTCGTTTCTGGTGTACTTGGCAGAGAAGGGCGAGAACGATCACTTTGATACCTACGCTGATGCTCTCTGGTGGGGCCTGGTGAGTCCTGGCAGCTGGGGTCATCGTCCTTCACTGGGGACCCGCTTGCTTGGCACCGCCTTCCTTGGGGGCCCTCCTCCTGCTGTCCCCCACCCCACCTCCAGGATGTGCCCCCTGCCCCCAGGGCATGGCAGAGTCACAGGGGCTCTCTGGCTGCAGAGGTCTCTCTGGGGCTGGGCAGTGGGCGGAGAGGCCCTGCCTGGTCACCCACCTTCCTTACTGGCCACCGGTGTGTGAGGCCTCTGTGCTGGAGGGAGGAGGGGACAGCCCTTCCGTCACACGGAGAGTCTGGAAAAGCGAAATCGAGCCCCTGGCCCTCCTGGGCCTCACCTTCCGGGCTGCCCGTCTGGGCAGGCAGAGAGTCTGTGGGCCCACAGCCCCTGCTCATGGCCACCCAGCTCCCAGGGCCCCGGAGCGCCCCTCCCCTGTCACCCGCCTCTTCCTGGGCCAGCCTCTGAAGGGTCCCTCCCACCCTGCTACCCTGGGGTAGCGCTGTGTCTGTGGCCCTGCCCTGTGGGCGTCATCCCCATTAGCTGGATGGAGCCTGGCCTGGCTCCTTGCCTGAAACCACGGATGTCCCCAGGCAGGGTGCTGGAATGCCCCGAGGGTGCCGGGCGCTTGGCCTGGGGATGAGTGGCTGGTCCTGGGACCCCATGCCCCCTTCCACAAATGCTGGCTGCGTGGCCTTGGGCAGATACTTCAGATCCAGTGGCGAAAGGAATATGCAGCTTTTACACGAATCTCAGTGAGAACGCACTTTATCCAGAATCATCTTATCGATTGCCGTGCAGCCTGGAGTCTGTGTGCTGTGCCCTAGCCGAGTGGGAAGGAGCAGGGTGGGCCGTGGGCCAGTCGCCGGTGACCAGGCTTGCCCTGCCCCAGGCCTTGTTCGTGGGCCATGGCCTTCCCATCTTGAAGAATGGAACCGAAACGGCTACTTAAGTGTTTTATCCAAGTAGTACTTAAACATGATGAATAGTGTGTGCGTGTTAGAGTGACCACGCAGTTCCCCGCACTCCCTCCCCGCCCTCTGGGCAGGGCTCCTGTGGCTTTTCTTGGGGTTTGCCTCCATGCTGCCAACAATATGCTTACGCTGCTGTTTCCGGATTTAAACTTCAGACGTGAATTATTCACTCTGTGCTGTGACAGAATGAGGTGGTGCCCCGTCCCCTGTGCTCGTCATTCTTGGAAAACGTCCAGCCTGAGCCTCCCCTTTCTTCTGCCCTGTAGGCCTGCGCGGCTGTGGGGGACCCTCGCGGGGGTTGGGGAGTCTCCACAGCTCGTCCTGCCCAGGCCCGCCCCGATGCCCCCCTCGAATCTGCCCTCATTTTGGAGGAGCAGGCCGATGGCTTTCTGAGGGTTTTCTCAGACCCGGGCGTCTGCGAGGTCCCACTCCCACGCCCTCCCGGCTGTCGGGAGCCACACTTCCGGGATCCTCTCCCACGTGTTTCTGGAATGTGGCTGGGTGGGGGGTTCTCCTGTGCACGTGAGCTACCTCGTTGCCCTCCCTCCGGGCCCAACGGGCCTCAGGATGTGTCCTCTTATCTCTGTCTGTCTCCTCACCCCTTGTCCGGCCCCGAGGAGGCGTCTGGAGCCGTACATCTCCGCCTGCTGGATTTTAATTTCATTTTCAAGATTCCTTTGTCATATGGATATGATTTCTTCTGTGTGAGGACCAAGGTGTCCGGCCACAGAGTGGCCCCGTGGACTCCAGGTTTCTTCCCACCTCCTGACCCTGAGCCCCTCCTCCAGGTCCTACCCTTGCTCTCCAGGCTTCTTTGCACAACTTTGGCGTTTTTGCAGAGAGTGGTGGTTTGAAGCGTTTCCTGTCTTTAAAATACGCTTAGTTTATGTTAAAAATCTTAACTGTAATCCTCACACAAGGTGAAGATTCTACCAGGGAAGCTTTATGGTGAGAAGTGGGTCTCCTTCCTGCCCACACCCACTCCTGGCTGCCCTTCCTCATTACTTGTGACTTTCCAAAACTTTCTGCACTGGCGGGAATGGGGACGGTGGCCCCTCGCCTGGGCCTGTTTCTTGCTGTATGTAAACAGGCCCTGAAGGTCCTACCCCCGGGGCCTCCATTTACCCAGGGCGTCTCCCAGACTCATGGCAGGCCCTGTGCGGCACCCGGGGACAGCTTCCAGGGGCTGCAGGTGGGTGGTGACAGGTGCCCCTGTCCCCAACAGCGTGAACCCATCCCCACTGGCAAGTCTGCTAGGGGCCACCTGGGGCTTGCTCCATGGGCAGCGGGCCCTCCTGTGTGCCCAAGCACCCCTCTGCATGGGCGTTGCTCTCCCCGCTGTACAACAGAGCAGCTTGCGCTCCGGCCACACCTCTGGGGACCCTTCCCGTTCTGGCCTTATGTCACCTCCACACGTCCCACCACACGGTCCCCATCCTGTCCCCGTCATCTGTCCCCCGGGGCTCCTGCTCAGCACCGTTCCTGTCCAGCCCCTGACTCTGCACTTCCTGGCTGCTGCCTGGCCTTGAGCCCAGAGCTGCCCCCGCCTCTGTCCTGGGGGAGGCCGCTTGACGGGTTCTTCTGCCCTCATGCGTGTGAAATGGTAACACAGGCTTCCGGTGACCCCCACATCCTGCCCTGGCACGTAGGGCAAGACAAAGGATCCGGAGAGTTCTGATGTGGTTGTTGCAGGGGGGGAAGGATGGTGATGGGGAGCCTGGTCCCCTGGGCCTCGTATGGGTGGCGTGGGAGGGTGGTCCCCATGCCTGTCCAGCTCACCCCGAACGGTGTGGGAGGTCGCTGCGTGTAAGACTCCCGGGGGCTTTGGAAGTGTCCAGCTCAGGGTTGCAGGTGTCCACGGCGGTCACTGCCAAGCTGGCCGAGTGACCGGCCTTGCCGCCCTACAGATCACTCTGACGACCATTGGTTATGGGGACAAGTACCCCCAGACCTGGAACGGGAGGCTCCTGGCTGCAACGTTCACCCTCATTGGCGTCTCCTTCTTTGCTCTTCCTGCGGTAAGTCCCGTGGCCCCTCTTGCCTTGGCGAGCCCCGGGGTGGCCACACGCAGCTTGGGGCACCTGTCCACTTGGGGTCCATGGGATGGGAGCGTGGCTGCCAGCAGGGTCCCTGGCACCCCAGGAGCCGCAGGCAGCAGGTATGGTGCAAGGACACCCTTTCCCGGGCTGTGCAGGCAGGGTGCGGGTGGCTTCTGTGAGCCTCCGTGGGAGCACACTGACCTTCCTCCAGCTGTGGCTTCAGACCCTGCATCTGTGGTCACTGTCAGCCCCTCCCAGCCCTATGGGATTAACCAGTGGGGTCCCTGTGAGCCAGAGCGTGCTTCGTGGTGATGAGGCTGCCTTGTCAGATCTCCGGCGGGGGTGGGGGGGGTGTTTCTGGTGTCACCCACAGCTGGACAGGTCAGAGGGGTGGCTGGTGGGGACACAGCTGCCTCAGGTGGCTGCCACCCAGAGCTTGGGCTGCACTTGCTTCAGTGCAGGCCAACCGGGAGGGAGGGTAATCTGTGGGCCCGGCCCACTCCCACAAGGTGGAGGTTTTCCTTTACCCTAAATCCGAGTGTTTCTCCCCAGCATGGTCCCCAGGTGACGGGCGACTGAGGGGGAGGGAAGGCAGAGCCAGCGAGGCCCCGGGGTGTGCAGGCTGGTGCGGGGGTGGGGCTGTGGTCCCCAGCACGTGGTCTGACCCTGATGATCTGCAGGGCATTTTGGGATCTGGCTTTGCTCTGAAAGTTCAAGAGCAGCACCGGCAGAAGCACTTTGAGAAGAGGCGGAACCCTGCAGCGGGCCTGATCCAGGTGAGTCCAGGTGGCCCCACATGGGATTCCCGGGGCGCTCCTGGCACGGCCCTGCTAAGGGGGGGCCACCTTGGCCCCTGTGTCTCCCCTGCCCCGGCGACGTGCACGGCCCTTGTTCCTTTGCAGGAACGTGTTGGGCACAGAAGCCAGGTGCAGACGCCTAAGGCTGCAGTACCTGTAGTGACACCCGGGGTGGGGGTGGGGGAGGGTGTGGCCGTCGTCCTGCGTGGGCCCCGGGCACTAGACCAGGCGGTCACAGGTACCCCTGACGTGCCGCTCACGGGGCCCCTGCCGGGCAGGTGTGGCATCTCAGCTTCGCTGCCCGCGCTCACACAGCCCCTCCCACTGCTGGGGTCACAGGGGCCCCTCGGGATCTAGCAGTGCCTCCCGAGCCTGAGCAGCAGGCTGCCCGAGGGGCCCCTCCAAAGCCCATGGGCGCCGGCGGACCTGGGGAGCCGTGGGCTTCCCAGGGGACAGCCTCCTGCGCATGCGTGCGGCGTGTGAGTGCGTACAGGCGGCGTGCGCGTACTGCATGCGTGCGAGCGCGTGTGCGCGCGTGCGCATTTACCTTTCACCATAAAAGCTGCAAATGGCTATTTTTCAAATGCGAAAGAGCGTGAGGGACAAGGGCCACGGCCTCACCGCGCACGTGCACGTGGCGCCGAGGTTGGAGGCCCTCTTAGCAGCCACACGCCTGTCCCGCTTCCCCCCGTGAGTGTCCTGCGTGCCTGTCCCCCGTCAGGACTCAGGCAGTTCAGGGGCGAGGCTCGGGTGTCCACCCGGTGGACAGACACTGAGCTTGTGGGCGGGGCTGCAGGGAGTCCCGGTACACGAGTGGCGCGCGGTCACGGGCGATGCCTCGGGGGACTGCTGGTCGGACGGCGGTGCCTGGATCCTTCTTTGGAGGCAGGTGGTGGGACCGCAGCCCCGCTGCTCGGGATTACAGGCTGGGACAGCTGCACAGCTGCGTAGCTGGTCACCTGGCTGCGATTCCCGGCGCCCAGACGGGAACAGACCAGCGGGGGAAGCCCCAGCAGAGGCTCGGGCCCTCTATGCTCTGGAAGTCTCCAATGGTCTGTGTCCTTCTGGCAGCTAAGGTGCCCGGCCAGGTATCCACCTCATTGCCTTTGCACGTGGTCCACAGTTTGCCAGAGTGCCCCCCTACCGCCAAGGGAATGGACATCCTCCCTCGGAGGGCCCGGGACAGGCTCTGAATAGCAGCGGGACAGGGAGGGGAGGCATCCCCTGCCCTGTGCTGAGGTCCCCACAGGTGGGCAAGGTGCTCTGGTGTTCTCTGTGAATCCGGGTTGAGGGTGGGCCCAGACGGGGGCCTGGAGAGGGAGGGGCAGGAGGGACGGGACCCAGAGAGGGAGGGAGGGG